AGCTGGAGCTACTGTGGACCAGTGCTGTCCACCCAGCAGGGCTTGGGCTGCCTCCCTTGGCCTCTGTCTCTGCAACCTGTGGCTGGTGCGAAGTGGTAGGTGGGCAGCCCCCATGCCAGTGTAGACTGGATGCCAGGTTGCTTAAACTTCCCCAGAGAGACTGGGGTTCAACCTGCAACTTCATTATTTATTCTTTCACCAAAATGTGTTGAGGTTCTGTTTCGTGTCCAGGTACGATGGGTGGGGTGATAGAATGATGAACATTGTATCAATGGTGAGCATTCAGTAAATGTCCGGGGGGCCTGACATTGAAGAAATAACACTGTAAATATTAGATTGAACCATAGGAAATTGCCATTGATAGAGGTCCAAAATGGTCAACTATTGTCAACTTCCTATGTTCTACCCTAATGATGTTAAAAATATCAGTGTTACAAAATAGAGCAGAGGAGCTCAACCCGGGGAGGAAAAATGTCATGGAAGGCTTCCTTGAGAAGATGAATCTAAGCTGAACTCAGATGAGGAGAGATTAAATGGCTAATGGTGTTGGAAGAGCTATGCAAAGGCCCTGAGGCAGGAGGGAGCTGGCCATTTTGTGGAAACCAGGAGATTAAAGCCAGAGAACCAGGAGGAGAGGGGTGGAAGTGAAGCTTCCAGGAACCAGGCTTTTCATGCAGGACCCCGATCGTGTCATGTTTAGGACTTTGGGCTTTTCCCCAAGGACCCTGGGAATACCTTTACTGAACAAGGTCACCAGCAGAGGAATGTCACAAATACTCATTGTTTTGGAAAGCACACTCTGGCCGCTGAGTGGAGAAGGACTGGGCAGTGGGACAGAGAGTGAAGGGGTGAGATGGTGATGGGAGAGGGGGCAGAGAGGATTCCTTGGTCCAGTCACTTTCTGAGCCCAAGTTTTGTCTTCAGTCATCTGGAATGTAATTTCCTCTTTGCAAGAAGGATGAAACTAGGAAATGAATGCAAATGTACTTAGTAGTTGCTTGGCACATAATGAACAGTCAGAAAATGACATTTTCTTGAGATGCCTGGGTGGCTTAGTCTGTTAAGCATCCAACTCTTGATAATAGCTCGGGTCTGGATCTCAGAGTTGTAATTTCAAGCCCTGGGTTGGGCATGGAGCCTACTTTAAAAAAAAAAAAAATATATATATATATACACACACACACACACACACACACACACACATATATACGTATATATACGTATATATACGTATGTATACGTATATATACGTATATATATGTATGTATACGTATATATACGTATATATGTGTGTGTGTATATATATATATATCTCTCCATCTTCTTCTTCTTTGGAACCCAAAGGACTCCCCCCCCCCCCAACTCCTGCAATTTACCATGATCTGTATCAAGGGGGCAAGCTCACTGATAGAGCCTGGAGCCTAGAGCCCACTGAAGCACATATGTTCTTGCTCTGGTGTCAGAGGTCATGGAGCTCTCTGATGTGCTCTAGATCTCTTCAGAGGTGGGCTCCCCTGGGAGAGCAGTGCCTGGGAGGACACGTCCTGGGAGGACAGGCTTCATATCCTCTTGGATATGCAGAATCAGGACAGAACCCTGGCCAAATAAGCTTGCCAAAGAGTTGTAATTATCTCCCTTGTACAAATGGGGGACACTGAGGTCCTGGGAGAGTAAGTCACACACTGAGCTACACTGGCTCTGAAGCCACCGCTGACCCCCATAACTATGCTTTTTATTTTTTTTCAATCTCAGGTGCAGAAAGTTGAGTTTATCCTACATCTCATTTTCAGGCGGGTATTCATGGGAGGTCTGTCTCCTGACTTGTTATTTCTAAGAAATTAGTATGTGCCAACTCTTTTCAGTGCCCCATCCTGTACCAGGTTCATGCCAGAGGACCCACAGGTGGTTCAGGGACAGTTCCTGTCCTTGGGGAGCATGTGGGCGGTGGCAGCCACCTGCTGGACAAAGAGTGTCTATCGTCCTGCCGTGCTGATTGGAGGAATTTATCTTAAGGAAAATAAGGTCAAAGGTCTATAAATGTATTTGTATCAGAAGGATAATAAAAAAATTCATGCCTTTCAGTGGGGAATAAATGCATTATCATACATCAATTTAATGGAATACTATGCAGCCATTAAAATCGATGGTGTGGGCATTTATTTATTGATGCGGAAAGATGGCCAAGCTTTGGAGTTCAGACTTTTTTTTTAAGTAGGCCGTAAAATAATATTTATAGAGATTCCCATTTTGAAAAACAGATATAGGCTTATATCATATTTTCTTGCTGCTAAGATGTACATGTTTTCACATTTTTGCATTTCTGAAATCAGGGTATGCTTAATGCAGTAGTTCTTTCCCCCCTAAAAGCTGTGTAATTAAATCAGTGATGCATTCTATAATCAGTGTTGTCCTGGAATCAAGAAATACACACACGCAGACACACACACATATGGAAAACTCCAGAAGAATATAAACCAAAGTGTTAGAAGTCGTTAATTCAAGGTGATTTTCACTTTCTTTTTAAGCCTGTTTGTACTGTCTGAATTTTTATAAACTGACCTTGTCTTATTTCTATTCTCTATTTCTATATTCAAAAACAAAACAAAGGCGTGGTTCCAAAAAGCAAAGCTTCTCATACCTTGGAGACCAGAATAATGGCTAACCAGAGCCCCCAACACAAGCTGTAGGGACTCAGAGGAAGGAGAGAGGAGTCAGGAAAGTCCCATGGAGGTGATGTTGAAGGACCTGGGCCTCCTAAGACAGGAAGGATTTGGGTAGATGGAAAACAGATTTGGGCACCCTAAGTAGGCCCAAGAGACCGACTCAGAGGAGGCCTGGGGATCTGGAGCTGTCCTCAGGCCTGCAGGCGGGTGGTGTGACTTGAGGCCGCATAGATGACCATAGTGGTAGGTGGTGGTAGTTAGAAAACAACACAGCCATCATTTACTGAGTGTTGACTCTGTGCCAGGTACTGTTCTAAGTTTTTCACAGGTACTTACTCATTGTTATAGGCTGAATGGTATTTCCCCAGCTTCATATGTTGATATCTTAGACCTCTGTACCCAGGGTGTGACTGTATTTGGAGACAGGGTCTTTGTTTTCTTCTAGATTTATTGAAATATAATTGACATATGAGATAGGGCCTTTAGAGAAATAATTAAGTTAGATAGAGGTCAGGGTGGGCCCTAAGCCAGTGTGACTGGTGTCCTTAGGAGAAGGGGAGATTAGGATGCAAACATAGAGAGGGAAGACCACGGGAAGATACAGGGAGAAGGCATTCATCTGCATGCCAAGAAGAGAGGTCTAGGAAGAACCCAACCCTACCGACATCTTGATCTCACACTTCCAGCTTTCAGAATTGTGAGAATACATTTCTGTTGTTTAAGGTCACCCAGTCTGTGGTGTTTTGTGATGGTGGCCTTAAGCAAACGAATACACTCGTCTACCCTACAGTGGCAACCCTTGGGGTAGGCATTTTGGTCCTGCTTTGCTATGTGACAGGCTGCCCTAAAACAGTGGCTTAGAAAAACAATTATCATTTATTTTGCTCTAGGGCTTGGCAGGGTCAGCTCCTCTCAGCTCCACATGGCATGGGTTGGGGCAGATGGCTTTTGGGATGGCTCACACTCATGGCTGGCCAGTCGGTACCCACAGCCAACCAGAAGCTACAACAGCCTCTCCACCGGGCTGCTTAGTTTCTTTGCAGCACAGCAGCCAGATGCCAAGAGTGAGCCTCCCGGAACAGCGCAGTGTACCTGGTGTTTTCATGACCTAGCCTCAGGAGTCACATGGCATGGCTTTTGCCCTATCTGTTAAGGCAGTGGGAAAGGTCCACCCAAGTTCAAGGGGAGGGAACACCGTTCCCACCATCCCCTGGAAAGAGTTACGTTTCTTAGGAGAATAGAGCTTGTGGAATGGGATCTACATTGTGGCTGACATCTTTGAAAAATGCTGGCTGCTCTAGTATGTACTAGGATTACCCCCCTTTACAGCAGAGGAAATCCATGTAGAGAAAGAATTTCAGTGACCGGCTAAAACCAAGCGTGTGGGTGGTGACATTGGGTAGGTTGGTGCTGGGCCCTGAAAGGCCTTGAAGTTCAGGGTTTTGGTTTAAAGTAGGTAGGCAGTGGGGAACCCCTGAGGTTTCTGAAGCAGGAGGCCACATCAATAGATCTGTGTTTAAGGACAATCAGGCCGCAGAATGGAAAGAGGCGAGGAGACAGGGAGACGGGGAAAAGGAAAGCACGAAAGCCATTAGGTGGCTGGGGCCACAGTCCTGCGGAGAGTGGATGCAAGCCCAAGCCAGGGCAGCGCTTGGGGATTGGAGGGAAGGGCCCCGCTATCGCTGCTCCCCAACATGAGGGCCTAAGGGTTGGGGGGCGGGGGACAGTGCCCGCCGCACCCTTCCAAGACCAGCGGAACTCCGTGCGCCCTTGGTTCCTCCAACAGCCATTGCCTCACGAGGTGCCGTGCAGGGGCCTCGGCCAGCCCTTCCCCGCCAGCCCCTCGCGCTGGCTTTCACCAAGGGCTGCTTCGATCTCACTGCGCAGAATGAGCCCTCAGTGTTTGCTGAATGAATGAAGGAATGGGAGACAAGACACAAAAGACAACATCCTAATAAACGAGGGAGAAAAAAGGCAACTAGACAATAAACATAAAACTGCACAGAAACGCAGACGTGGGGCTCCTAACTGGAAAACCTAGCCGGAATGGGGAGCCAGGCGCTTGTAAGTGGGCGGGGAAGGAAAAACCTGAGCCGGGACGGGGCTGGGTTCTGATTGGATGCAGTGCCTGTCAATCGCGGCCGTTGGTCGGCGAGCCTATCTGCGGGCCGCAATCACGGGATTAAGACGCCAGAAGCCTCGCGAGTTCGAATCTCTCCCTGCGAGATCTCGAGCGCGTCCCTGCGTCTGCGGACTCAGTTTGCTCAGCTGCAAAGTGGGGGTGAGGACGGCGCTTCCAGGACCGCGCTTCCCGCCCGGCGCTGCGGAGCGGCGTAAGCGAGGCGCAGCGGGTCCAACCGAAGTCGGGGCTCGGTAAGTGAATACCCATCACCTGGGACTTTTGGCCTGAGACCGGCGGCGGCCACGTGTGTTTGGAGTAACGTCTGCTCACATCCAACTCCCTATCCTTTTTATCCCCTTCTCCCAGGGCAGGCACTGTGTCCCAGGGCTCAGCTAGGGCCTGGAGGAGGGGTGGGGAAGGGCCGGGGAGTTAGTGGCTTCAAACAGATTTCCTCTGGGGCTGTTGAGGATGGGTGGACGGCGGAGTGCCGAGGACAGAAGAGCAGCCACCGGCTGATGAGGTAGGCTGCCTCACCTGCGGACACCCTGGATGCCAACCAGGAAGCCCAGGCCCAGGGGAGACAGGTCAGAGGGGAATGGGACTCCTAGCAGCCAGCAACCAGAGAGAGAAGGCAGGGAGGGGACATCGGGGTTGACAGAACGTGCCAGGATCCATGGCAAGACCTTCCAAGGGGAGCGTCATCTCATTGTCTCCATTTTACAGTTGGGAAGACAGAGACTTAAAAATAACATCATGGCAAGTTAGTGCTTTGGGTCCAGGCTTGCCGGATTCTCAGACTGAGCTCTTTATCCTACATCATGCGGCCTCGGGAGAGACTTTGAGGAGGGAGAGATATCTACACATTAGCAAGGTGGACTGTGGCAGTGATATCTGGGTGCCAGAGAAAGGTGGGCGCCCTCACATAGGTTCCTGTGCCCCAGGTATCTCTGCTTGGGCTCTTCTTGGATTGGTTCTGTGTTGCCCCAAAACCTCTGGGGCGCATTCCTCCTGGATTCACCAATCAGACCAGGGGAGGGGGGGCGGGGAGCAAAAACAAAGTAGATTTCACTCCTGTGTGCTGGAGAGGCTGAGACAGGCTGATCATCCTCGGCCCAGGCAAGAGTCGTGGGAAGTCACTGGGAAGCGGGTACCCAGGAGGATGGGGTCAGTGGAGAGACCCTTGCAAAGCAAACACAAGGGAGGAAGGACCACAGGACGGACTGGTGATCCCCAGATTCCCTACTTTCTCCCTGGGGTCAGATTCGCTCTCAGATTCCAGGGCCCTCCCCTCTGAGGCTCAGCACTGCCCTGAATGAAGTTCCATATTCCCAAGAGTTCCCTGGGCTCTGGGCTGGACTTTGGGCTTCACACTGTGATCTTCACCCACCTGGCACCCCTCCTGGTCACATCATGGCCTCTCAGCCATCCTGATTGGGGCAGGAAGCTCATCTGGTGCCAGCAGTGGGTACCAGAATTGGCCACACTGCTCTAAGGCCATCAGCAGCCCCGCAGGGCCCCAGCCTTGCCCATACCCTCTCCAGCTGGCTCAGCTCAAGGCCAAGCTCTTACAGCCCTTTGGACACTAGTTTGAACAGCTCCCTGTCCAGCGGGCTGGCCTACAGCCAGGCCAGATCCTGAAATATGCCCCCTATACTCCCCCAACCCAGCATATCCAAAGCCCCTGTGCCCCACCTTCTCCTAAAGCCTGCCCCCCTCCCTTATTTCTGTTGGATTTGATGTTCGCCCTGTGGCCCAGACTCCCAGGACCACCCCCCCCCACCAGCCTTGCCTGGGGACCCTGCCCAGGTTCCAGCTGGCTGGCAAGCCCAGCCAAGCATCATGGCTCCCGAGACATCCCTGAGTGACAGGAAACAACTCGCTCCTTCCAAGAGGCGAAGCTCTGACAAACACTCACTAGGAAATAATAAAGTGGCAAAATAATTCTGCATCGGACACACTTACCAGAGCAGAAAGCGTCTGTGGAGGAGACAACATCTTGTACCATCTATCTTCCTTAAATCCCCACGCTGTGACAAAGTGGAGGGCAAAATCATGATGAATGATCGGACACATTTAGCCAGTACCTGTGCTCTGTAACGAGCGTGGCCCGGGAAAAGGGGCTTTAATGAAGATCTGTGCCCCCGCCCCAAACTGGGCCTCGTCGGAAACAAGTCTTTATTACAAAATTGGCGCCTGGTTTTCATACCACGAAGGATGGAGGCGCGAGGTGTGACATGAATTAACGCCGGCACCTGCAGGGTCAGTCCAACCCTTGCTGGCGGTACAGAGACAAACGGGTTCGGCTCCCGCCACCACCCTGCGTCTGGTTGACAAGGTGCCAGTCGCCTTCCGATTGTGCGGGAACACGCCTAGGTTTTGTTCCTACCCGGCCCGCCATCATTTATTCTGCTGCCTCATTTGAATATGATGAATACTGTAGTCCTTTATTTGTTCACAACAACCAAATAATTGTAGATCCGTGGGCTTCGGGGCAATTAATCACATTTTTCCCTCCACCAATCCACCATAAACATGACATTGAACAATAAAGGACATTAACCTCTGCTTTGCACAAAACTTTGCTTATTTAAACACTGCAAGGTTATTTGTTTTCCTTCTTGCCAGGCCCCAGCCGCGAGGAGAGGGTGCTGAGGAGAGAAGGCGCACCCCATAACCAGCCGAGGCTCTCCGGCCCATCCTGGCCCCCTGCACGGGGCAAGGAGCAAGCAGGTGCGGCTACAGTTATGGGAGCGGACACTGCCAGGGCAGGGCCTGTGACCACAAGCATGTGTGCATATGCATGTGAGTACACACATGTGTACCTGGATGTGACTGTGGGTGTATTTGTGTGACTGGGTCCATATTACATGCGTGTTCAAACACACATACATATTTTTCGAAGTTTGCTCTCAGAGCAGAGGTTCTGAGGACAAGACCTAAGACTGTATGCATGGTTATGTCTGTGTATAGGTGTGTATTGTGTGTATGTGTGTGCATAGGGGTGTGTGTATGTGTGTGTGTGTGTGTGTGTGTGTGTAATCGTCCCTATATGTGCACATGTGTGGCGATTTTAATATAGGGTCACATTTCTTTCTTCACATTTCTCCCATCAAGAGGTGGGGGTCTCTGTCCTCTGCCACCTGAATCTGGGAAGGCCTGTGACTGCTTTAACTACATGAATGTGGCAGAGGGGACATGGTGTGATTTCCAAGGCGAAGTCATACAAGGCCTTGCAGCACGCACCTTGCCCCTAAGAACAGTCACTCTTGGAGTCCTGAGCTGCCATCTCAGAAACCACTGGCTCCTGGACCCCCTTGCTAGAGAGGCCTCATAGAGAGACCCGGAGACCTTGGGAGGGAGAGAGATGGCCCAGGACACCAGCCATGGAGGTCATCTCAGGCCAGGGGCCAGACATGGGAGTGAAGGTGTCTCTAGCCTTTTGATTCTTTCCAGCTGAGGCTCTTGTCATGGCGGAGCAGTGACGAGCCACCCCCACAGAGGCTGGGAGCATAGTCAGATGGTTGCTTCACGCCACCAAGTTTGGGGTAGTTTTCTAGGTGGCAGTAGGTGGCTGGAACAGCATGTATTTTCTGTGTGTGCTCGATGCCTGTGTGAATGTGTGTGTGTACACGTGTGTGTACTGAATGTCTGCCTATGTGTCAGGGGGTCTCAGAATATACGTGGTTCCCAGGTCAGGGCCTGAGAGTCTGAGCATGTGTGTTTAGCAGCGTGCACACGTGGGCGTGTGTTTGTGGGGACGGTGTGTGTGAGCATGTGCGCATGACGCGTTCGTTCTCTCATTCAGCAGATACGTACCAAGCACCTGTCGTGCCACTCTCTCTTTGTCCTTCAGGGAACAAAATAAAGGTGGTATCTTCATGCAGCTTTCATTCTAACAGAGACAGACAGTAGATGATAGACCTAAACAGTTCTTGAAAATTATGTATTACGTCACATGGGCCAGGGAAGGGGGTCAGCCAGCGTAAGGGCCCCAAGGTGGGAACACAGGGCCAAGTTCAAGGATGAGCAAAGAGGTGGAGTGAGTAAGAGAGAGTTATAAGGGACTCTGTGTGAGCCAGGCGATGGGGGTCAGTTCACAGAATCCTTGACTCTCTCCTAGGGACTTGGCTTTTAGTTGTGGGTGAAATGTGGAGTCTTTGTAGGGTTCTGAGTGTGGTGTTTTCTTTTTTTTTTTTTTTGAGTGTGGTGTTTTCTAACCAGCTTTTTTAAAGGATCACAGTGGTGCTTTCAGAATAGTCTCTGGGGCAAAGGCAGAGTAGGGAAGCCAGTTAGGAGCCTAGCCCAGGTAGTCCAGTGGTCCATGGTAAGGCTAGAGGTGGTGAGAAGTGGTTTATTATGGATATTTGGGGAAAGTCCTGGAAACAAGATGTCCTGACGGATTGGGATACAGGGTGAGAGAGTGCAGTCGGGGATGACTCCCAAGATTTCTGGCTTGAGAAACCAGAAGGAGAGAATCACCCTCAGCCAGGATGGAGAAGGTTCTGGGAATAGTGGGTTTGGGGTGGGGGTGGATTGGGATATCTGTGTACCCGTGTGTCATCATATACATGTATATATTATGTGAGTGTGTGTACATCTGTGCAGGTGTCTGTATATTTGGATGGTCTCTGGGTTCACAATGGTTTGTGTGCTCTGGTGTGTCTGTGGATAAACATTTGTGTCTTTAAGAAGTGCTGAGTGGGGGTGCCTGGGTGGCTCAGTGGGTTAAAGCCTCTGCCTTCGGCTCAGGTCATGATCTCAGGGTCCTGGGATCGAGCCCCACATCGGGCTCTCTGCTCAGTGGGGAGCCTGCTTCCCCCTCTCTCTCTGCCTGCCTCTGCCTACTTGTGATTTCTGTCTGTCAAATAAATAAAATCTTTAAAAAAAAAGTCTTTAAAAGAAGTGCTGAGTGGGTATTTGTACTGTGTGTGTGTGTCTGTATGCGTGTATAGTGACTTTCTGGGTTTACGGATTCACTGGATGTGCACAGCCATGCAGGGACAGTGCTGGGGAACCCCAACCTCCACCCCGCTGCCAGGCTTGTTTCAGGTGGGCGAGGTGGAGGTGGGGTTCACATAGACAGAGCTGTGCTGGAGAAGCTCCCAAAAGAGGACCACAGAGCAGGGAGAGCCAGGCTTCCATGGAGCAGAAGTGCTGAAAGCCATTGGCCCCCCGTGGATGGGGCTGATGCCTTTTGCCCCAGGGGGTGCCCCCCCCCCCCCCCCCCCCCGCCCGGCCAACAGCAGGGGATTGGCCAAATGAACTGTACATTTCCACAGGATGGATTATGGCGTGGCCTTCGAAAATGACATTTTTAAGGAACAAAGATTTGGGAAAATTCTCCCCCAAATAATGAGAAGTGTAAAAGGCAGTTCTTCACAAATAGAAGAGAAGCCATCAGGTGCACGCTCCGTCAGCAGACAGCCCTGGACTTGCCTGGCCTGTGTTGTCTTCCCACGCACTGAGTTGAACTCGTCATGGAGGCCTCCCCTCGTCCCCAAAAGAGCCTCGTTCCACTTTCCATTCACCGAGGTGGGGATGGCAGCTGCCCTCTTGGGTGTGGTATCGTGCCTGAGCAGATTCATTCCCAGATCCTCAGATACCTAGGGTGCAGCCACGGGTTTGGGGAACACATTCTTCTCTATTCCAATCAGAAAAGATGGTCTAAAACAGGGCAGCCGTAGTTGTTTGTAGTTTCATCGTCTTGTCCCAAGGCTGTCTTAACTCTCCCATCCTCTGCCGTACAATAGTCCGAGTTGATCTGGATTGCTTCCACATTATACAAAAGATCCCATTAGGTCAATGTAATAATAAGAGATCATCACATCAGTGACTTCGTGCTGATATGGACGGACAAGACAAATGTGGCTCGTCTGCTGCAGGTTTTGGAAAGACACGTGCACACCGTGGGGGGGGCATGTATGTATTTACAGTTTATGTAAGCTGTATGTACTGTGTAATACTAACTGTTTTTAAGATCTATCCATGTCACTATGTGTCCTTATGATCCTTTGCTTCATAATAACAGTGAGGGCCAACTCAGGGTACCGCCGTCCTCCCACAAACCTGCAGCAAGCATCTGTGTAGATTTCCCATTGTGCACATATGTTAGAATTCCCGTGGATCCTGCAGTGTGTGTGTGCTCAATTTGCATAAGTACTATGGGTCGACTCTCCAAAGAGGCTTTACCAATTTACACTCCCATTGGCCATGTGTGAGGGATCCTATCTTCCTCATTTCTGCCATTAATTGGTATTACCCAGCTTTCTAGTTTTTGCCAGTCTAAAGGTGTAAAGTGCTATCTTGTTTTAATTTGCATTTCTTTGACTGCTAATGAGTTTGAGCATCACTTCATGTGCTTATTAGCTTTCGGGGTTTCTTTTTCTGTAAATTGCCTGTCATATCATTTGCCCATTTTTCTATTGGACTTGATGCCCTCTTAGTATCGCTTTACAGAGTTCCTTGTATATTCTAGATGTTAATCCCTTGTCAGTTTTAGACTTTGAAAAAAATCTCAATCCTATCATCTGACTCTTAATTGGCCCATGTTATTTTTTTTATTAAACACTACTTCTTAATTTTGATGTAATCAAATCCAGCAAATTTGTGCATGATGGTTTGTGCTTTTCAAGTGTTGATAAGTAAGCCTCCTTGCTTTTCCCTGAACCCAGAGAGAGCCTCCCACATTTGTTTCTGTTAGCCCTATGATTTTTAGCTTTCACATTTAGATCTTTAGTTTACTTAAAGCATGCCCTCCCCTCATGCATGAGGATAAACAGGGATTTGGTTATAATTTGCTTAGTAGAGAGAGCCATTTTTCACTAGTCTAAAATCATCCATCCTCTTCCCATCTCCTTTACCTCTGTTAAGTTCCCAGGCTTATGTAGGTAGGTCTTGGAGTTCTCTGTGTTTCTGCATCGATATGTTTTCTGTTCTTGTGCCAGCTCTGCAGGAGGCTTTTTTTAAAGTACTGTTTGGTAGGGAAAGTCATCCCCTCTTTGCTGTTTTGTTTTGTTTTTGAAAGTTGACTTTGTTCTTCATGTATCTTCCATGAGTCCACATAATTTTCAGTGTAGATTTACCAAGTTTCCTTTTCAAAGAACATACACATATACTCCCACTTATACATAGAATTGTACTTACGAAGGGGATTGCAGTGAATTTCTTCATTAGTCTGGGGAGAGTTGACTTGGTTTTAATATTAAGTCATCCTCTCCAAAGTTTGTCAGTTGATTCAAGTTTTAAAGTTCAGTTCATGGAGGTCCTTATAAGTTCTTGGTTTAATTCTCTGATAAGTAATTTTTGTTGCAATTGTGATGTGACTTTTTTATTGTACTTTGTTCTATTTATGATTTCTTTTATTACATACTGTATTTATTACATCCTGGTATTTCATTTTTTTATTACATTTTCTAGTTGGCTGTCGCTGGTGTAGGAAAATATTGATTTTTGTAAGTGAATCTCATGTCTGAGCAATTTTAGCTGAATTTTCTTGTTCTAATAATTGGTCTGTTAATTCTGTTGGTGCCTATCTAGATAAGTTAGTCACATCTATAAATAATGACAGTTTTAGGTCTTCCCTTCCAAACTTCACAATCTTATTTCCTTATGGTGTTAATTAGAATTTCTAATACTTTATTAAACAGTATGAGATATTATTAGGGCCATCTTGTTTTTGTCCATGATATGAAGATATATATACCTAAAATTTTTCTGTTATGTATATTACT